TATGCGCTTCAAAGTTGCGCCTTGTAAAGGAACGTCTCGTGCATTCTGCCACTTCGTTAATTCACTACAAAGACTGATACGTTGGACGCCTTCCCGGCACGTGCGATCGCGTAGACGTGGTGCGCCTCGCTGTCTTCGTCAGAGCTTCCGTTAGATATATCCCGTCGTGGTTGACTTATCTATACGCCAGGCGAAAAAAGAAAGAGAAGCGGCACGTTTCGCGTTCATGCGCTGAGTATGTCGCTGAGGTTTCGTGACGTTCTTGCAAACGGTGGAGCTGTCTCTGCATTTGTTCCACGTCCGGGCTCTCATGGCAGGCACTTTATTAATATCGTTACGGGAAGAATAGCATGAATTACGTAGGTCTTACGTGACGCCAATACCTAGCCCCTTGCACAAAAGATGTTCGGGAGAAAGTATTTAAAATACACGCACAGTGACTTCAGTGGTTGACCAGGTGGCGCCGAGACCGCGAAGTCCGAAAACGTCGCCTTCTTCCTTGTCCCTATCATCCTGTTACACTGTAATCAACATGGTATAACTGCAACATTTTCTCCAACGCACGAAGCGACATTAGAATTGTGAAATGAAGCTTCGCAAAATCTGGTTACTGTATTCAACGTGAAAAGAGTCAGCGTGAAAAACATCAGTTTAGAACCGTCTATAACATCGAGCTATTTCACGCAACGTATTAGCCCCGTATTCTAGAACGTCCCTCCACTGAACGCTTGACTTGAGAAAGTCGATGGGAACCCTGTCTCCAGGCAGAGCAAGTCGCTGCAAATCAGCGATAATCTGCAGCGATTCTTGTGAAGCGCAGCGTCATTTTCAGTCAAGCAGTGGCGCTGTGCTCAATTCAGTCAATTGAATGATGAAACTCGATTTTAACAGCGTTTGTGATTACGGTAGTCAGTGGTATAACGCAAACATATATACGCACCTATTTTAATGTATTGAGCGTGGACTTCATTCACACGCAGATATATTCTCGTTGGTGAGCTCGGGGCATTTACAAGCGCCTCGCGCGTCCTAAATAGTAATCACGCATTCTTTTATACATCTGCTTGAGCGAAATTTACAAGAGCGTCGTTCTGAAACAATACTTCATCATCTTGAATAGCTGTAGTGGCACTATAGAATCACTTCTACAAAGTCACTTTAGTATATCGGTACCTCGTGAAGGCTACGGCTTCTTCAAGCCGAGGAGTGCAGAAGTGCTCTGCGATGTGTTTACCTTTGCTACTGTGCGTTGTTCACACTGTTTTGTTGAGTCGCTTAAGAAGAATAAAGTTTTTGCATCTGATAAAATGTTGACATAGCTTGCAACAATAAAAGAAAAAAAAATATATCAACTAAAAAAACATCAGTGTCGCGCTGTAGTAGTAGTAGTAGTAGTAGTAGTAGTAGTAGTAGTAGTAGTAGTAGTAGTAGTAGTAGTAGTTGTTGTTGTTGTTGTTGTTGTTGTTGTTGTTGAAAAGAGAATTCGGCAGATCTCGCGCGTGCCTTGGGAATCGACGTTATGCGAAGCACTGCGGAGTGAAGGTGACTGTGTTATAATTTGTAATGAGTGAAACGTTACGAAATGACCTGCAGTATAAAAGAAGTGTGCAAATGTTGTACCCACAGATATATGTTAAACAGTAGCATGTTCACTGTTGCGTAACGATGCCCACAGCAACATGGGTATTAGCAACACTACTAGACGCGATAAGCTGACATGTAGCGCTTGTGCCAGTAAAGATAGCGGCCCTGGACACTGCTAGATAGATCAGCTTCAGTGGATCGCGCTTCACTACAATTGTCGTTAACCATGACGCGACGGCTGTGGATAGCAGTACGCAGTACTGTTGGTAAGACTGAAGAGAATTTCAACCACAATCGACGTTTCATGAACATTACGTTTACTTGAACAGCAGTTCCGAGGCCTGGCGTGGCTCTTTGGTAGAATACTTGATTGTCACATGCAATGCTGGGGATGGATTCCTGCTGGGACTTTGATATTTATTCTATGCGTTCGTTGGATCAACACTGCCGATGCCATGTTTTTAGGGGCGAAGCTCCTTAGCGCCCACCTAGTCGGTGTTTATCAAGTCCCACAAAACCCAAACTGTAACTGAACACCTGCACAACGAAACATGAAAACATATGTGTAAACAACCGACTTTACGGGGAATCAACCACACGACAGCACAATACATGATCACCCGGGACGACTATACGCTCGTCTATCCATCCATCCGTCCGTCCATGCAAGCGTCCGCCCCTCCATCTGTCCGTCAGCCCATCTGTCAGTCCGTCCGTCCGTCCGTCTGTCCGCCCGCCCGCCCGCTTGTCTGTCCGTCTGTCAGTCCTTTGTACTAGTTGGCGACTTGCAGCGTAGATATTATAGACCTTAGGACCTACTATTTCGATCACTCGATCGTCGGTCATTCACCTTGTGGATGTCTATTAATTTTAAAGCTCTCGAATTAAAATTACCAATGTGTGTTCGTGCCGTTCCTTGGTTGATATAAACTAGTTGATCTTGACCCGACGTGACGGCCATATAATAAGAGTACATATGTAATGTTTATAAAATTGAATAGGCATCACTGCATCCCCGATTGACGCTTCATTTAAAAAAAAACGTCATTTTACTTTGGGTGTCAGTGCAAGGCGAGTGGGCCAACTGGTCCTGGGCTTCACTGACCTACGTGGCTCGTTTAATTTCCTTGTACACTTTTGCTTTTGCAGCAACTTTCTCAGTCGAATAATCATTCCATCCTAAAAGTATGAATTGTAGTCAGTATGTTTCCTCCTCAATTGCGCCCCCTGTAGGACGCATGAGGAAGATGGCAATCGTCGCGTTAGTGATGATCATGCAACGTTTATTATTGAGAAGGAAATGAAAACAAAAATATTGGAAAAATGAGAATAAAACAAGGGAGCGGCAAATATCGAGGGTGGTTTCCCCATTCCAGGGCACCATTGGCCACCGCAGCTCGCTCGGCTTGATCCAGGAGACTGCTTGGGGTTTTCAGGTCAGGTCGGGCGAGGACAGCCTCCCACCCAAGGCACCTCCAGCGTCGTGAGTGTCAGAGGCGACTGTGCCTTCATAGGCCTGCTAAGGCACACCCATATCAGGCGCTGCAGTGTTGGAGTCGACAAGCACCACGGACGTTGGCTTACATATACATTGAGGTTTACTTATGTGATTATTAAAGAGAAAGGAAGAGAAAAGAAGAGAAAAGTGAGCCCCGTAGATTGTTGCGACGCGCACCTCCGACGACGTTACGAAGGGCGTCTCGAATCTCTCCGCTGCAACCACTGTTTCGAAAGACGGCGACGCCAACACGGTCCCGAAGGCGCCACTGCTTCGAACTCCGCCGGAAAGGTCACCTGCCGTTTGGTAGCGTAGGTTTCTCAGCTTGCGACTGCTTCTGCGCAAAGCTGATAGACGAGCGGACGAGACGACGGTGAGTTTAAACAAAAGTTTATGTACAGCATATATACAGAGGCGTTACAAATTCGGCACTGGGGCCGACAGAAACTCGAGGAGCCGAGCTCTGCTCTCTAACACATAGGTCTACTCTAACATGGGTCTGCTGTAAAAAGGGGGTCTCTCTCGACGCGCCGCAGGGCTTCTTTTATATGCCCCGGGTCCAACCCAAACGTCCAACCCGAAGCGCCGCTGGTCGCGAGGTCAGAATCCTCCAATGAGGTCGCCGCTGGGCCGTGTCCTTCTTTCTCCTCAAATCTGGAGAGGCTGCGCTGCAGGTGGCTGCACCCAAGGACGAGTGACGTCGCAAGGCATTGCGTCAGACCCGCCAGACAGGAAGGCGCCAGTTGTTTACTCGACGGGCTCGCTTGCGGAGATGACTCACTGCACGTGCACGCCAGAAAGGCGCCGTTGAGTTGTTGATCGCGTCAGGCGGGCGACGCGGGCTGGCATTGACACAGATTGCCTTTTTCAGAGGCATGGCCGTTCGCTGTGGACTCGCAGGCATAACAACATGTTTGCATCAGAGCGAGACACCTCAACAGTAGCTCACGAGGGATGGTGGTAAGGAGGGATTAAGAGGACAGGATTGAAAGGTAAAGTGATAGGGAGAGGAAAGAGAGAGTGAGGCGCAGAGACAGCGAACGACAGAAAACAACGGAAGTAAAGAGGAGATAGGAAAGATGGACACCGTCGAAGAAGTCCGAGGGCGGGGCACCACTTGGCGAGAGCTCTTGTCGGCGTCAGGAGACGGCATAGGGCGAGCCAGTAGGCCAGAGCTGCGCTGTCGTTGGAGATCGCAGGGGCACAACTGGTCGGCACGAAATTCAGCGAGCGAGTCTCCTGAGGTTTACTTGACAAAACCTTTGCAAATGTAGACAGGTGTTAACCTGAATTTGTCCTAGGCGGCGAGATTCGTCGACCTAAACTTATTTGTGCCGTGGGGCATTACGCTGTCTGCACGTCGGAACCCCCTTCCCTCTGCTGTCATGTGCCCTCGCTTGTGGTGCAAGTTGTGCAATCCAAGGCGGGGGAACCTCGTAGCTTCAACCGCACCGGCGTCTCACTGACAAGGGCGGTGGCTTTTACGCATTTCTTCGCTCAGGAAGAGAGCGAGACACACCTCTGCTCTCCTTGTACTAATCGACAATCCCAAGCTTCCTCTACGTCCTTGTTTTTTCGCTTCTCAGGGTGGCGACAAGTTAAAGGAAACCGAGGCGGATCATAGTGCACTGCCATGATTTATCTCTCTTGAATGAACGAAGGCGTATGTTTTCGCGCCGGCGCGCAGCCTTTGCAAAACACGCGCGTAAAAGTGCGGAGCACTCGGCACTTGACATTTCCCCGCACTCCGAGTTTCGCCCCCGTCCTCCCAGTTCGACGCGTGACTTGCTCCGCCGGGTCCGGGCATCCCCTCGATCCGGGGTTCTCGCTTTCCCCTGCTAAACGCCGCGCAGGCGCAGTAAGAGACCGCCACGGCGACGGAGCAGCTCCTCCTCTCCTCACACGCACATACGCACGCACGGCACCGCGGCAAGCCCCGAGTGCGGACTGTCACCGACGCAGGGCCCACGCTGCTCGCTTACCCCCCTGTTCGCTCCAGACTGCACGCTTTCCCTTCGGAAGCTGGAAGGAGGAGTGCGTGTGCGCGCGTTGCGGCGAACCCGAGGCTGGCTTCGAGAAACAACGTGATCTCATCAAACCTCGCCGTGCAGCTACATAGCTGTGCTCTGCGGGAAACACCGGCCGGCAATATCGAAACAACGCCTTGACCTTCGGAGTCGGTGGTGGTGCTAACGACAGCGACGGGAAAGACAGCGCAGCCTGAGTAAACGACGTCGTCGGAGGGCGCGTGAACACACCGTCGCCTCCCGGCGCCCAGGCGCAGTCGCCGCTGACTCGATCGGCGGCGGGGGTGTAGCGCAGCGCGCGGACGTTTTTCGTCGTGGCCGACATCGGCGCTGGCGCGCGCTCGCTCCTTTCTCATTTCTCACGCAGAAAAACGAGCCGCCCGCCGCAGTTGTTCGTCAGTCACGCGCGTTTCCTTCGCAGCCAGCCGCCGGCGGAGGTCTTCGTGCAGCTGCTTGGAGCTCCTTCTTCGCTTTCTGAAACCCCGGGCGGCTGCTCAGGGCGGAGAATTGAGGAGGCCACGACACGGCTGCGACAATCGAAGTTGGACCCCGCGGTGATCCTGCGCGAAGGGTCCTGCTCCACCGACGGCAAGCTTGGTTTCACGTGGGATAACGTGCCGCTGGCGCCAGAGTCCTCCCTCCACATAGCGATGCTTCGAAGCGACGGTGTCTGCAAGAGGATGCGCTTCTTCTGAACTAGAGTGATGCATTGGCGTCGAGAACAGTCTCCGAGTGGAGTCGCACACGGTGCGATTCAATGACTCGTGGAGCTCGATTCGCCGGTCTCGTGGTAAGTGTCCGTGTTATGTGTATAGAGTCATTCAGCAGTGTTGCAATACGTACCTGCCTTTGACGTAAATTTCGCCTTGCTAAAAATAGTACGTCGTCTCACGATGGTGTAAATGTAGGGGTCTTACGTTCCAAAACCCCGACACGATTATGAGCGAAGGGTTCCGGAAATTTTGACTACCCGAAGCTTTTTAACGTGTGCAGAAATCTAAGCAAGCGGGCCTTTAGCATTTCCCTTCCCTTGTATTTCCATCGCAGACGGGCATCTAGCATTGTGCCGCCGTGGCAGGGATTCGATCTTGCAACCTTCAGGTCAGCATTCGAGCACCATAGTGATTACACCACCACGTCGGGTTACGTGGTCTCAAGAATTTTCGAACTATATATGGTAATATCGATGGATGACCGATCGACGAGATGTGTCTCACAATACAATAAGTTTTCATCGATGTTCTCCGTTCATTTGACCGTCTTATTTGAATAAACATCCTAAATGAATCGACAGACAATGACAGGAGTTACGCGAATATTTATGAATTGTATTGAATGCTGAGCAAGAGCGGCCGACTGTGATGTTGCGACTGTGGGCATTGCTGGTGATGCTGCAGAGTAGCATTTAGTAGAAAGGGGCTAGCTCTGGTTCAGAACGGCACCCTTTTCATTCTTCACTCCTCCATTTCTGGAGCCGGCTCTTCGTTCGAAGGCAACGTCCGAAACCAAAGAAACCGCAACGCGTCCCTGTCTTCCTCTCTGACGCTTATCTACAAAAAGGCCTTTTCTATGTCTGCTGTCTAAGCTATCCGGTACGCTCGGACCTTGATCAGCAACCTGACGAGATCGCAAAGAAGACATGGTCCTTTTTCAAGGTGTTCATTCAATGACGTAGCACCCTGTTCATGAGAGGAAGCGTCAAACACAACCCGCAGCTTTGTTGTCATTGAGTCACCGCGTAGCACAGCGTGGTGAGGCATAAAGTATATTGAATGACTGTTGTCCATTTCTTTAGATGCTCTTTCAGTGAAATCCATCTCCCCGCAGCTTCGTATGACAGCATCATATACCAAGGCAAATTCGAGAGTGTGCAGCATCTTTCGGCCACTGGGGCTCTGTAGTCGCTTAACGGCCTGTGCGCGATTATCAGAAAGTTGGCTACAGTTTTCTTTCCAGGGCAGTGCTACTTCGTAGCGGTCATCCTTTTTGATGTGCTGTTCAAACTGGCTAACAACCGCTTGGATCTCCTCAGAAGGTCCCTTGAGTTGATCCAAGATCCCTACGCTCTCCAAGTCCCAGAACTTTCGAGCAAGTCTCCCTATACAGTTTCGACCGAGGTGCTTGCTCACTCTCAAAACGCATGCTTTCAAAGAGACGTGTAGGGAGGTATGGATGCCTATCGGATTCTGAAACATCCAACCAAAGACCGAACCGAGTGCAACCAAATCCGGATTGTTGGTGTGACGTCGCATTTCTCAGGTCATAAACTTCCATAGATGGTCTGCTCCAATGAGGAGTCCAATTCCAGGTACCGCAGGCATACCCGGTAAAAACAGTTTGTCTACGATGGGCTGTCCGCCGTCTTCCATTGCTTTCACAAGCTCATTTTCAACCGGCACCTGTATGATGTCGTTGCAAATGAACAGCATCTCAATGGTTTCGACATAGTAAACCTTTCCGTCATACTGGCGGCGCAGGCATACCTGCACCAAACGGTGCTCTTTCTGGGCTAAGGAGGCATCTCCGAATGTGCTAAGTTGAATTCTAGTCTTTCCAATTTCCTTCAGACAGGGGTTTCTAGACATTTCTTACCGAATGAAGGTACGGTGGCTACCCCCATCTACTATACCTCTGATGTAGCCGCAACGCTGCTCTCCAACAACTCATAGTCTGCAAGTTTGAAGCAAGACCTCATTGTGCATGGCGCTCTGGTTACCTGCGTGCAACGTGTTGGCATCCACAGTGGTGGTGACTGTTGTCTTGTTTGGTTGCCAAGCAGGATCGCAAATGTATGTAACGTGTCTCCCTTTGCACCTTCCACACGTAACTCCACGCCTACAATCTCTTGCGCGATGTCCGCGAAATGTACAGCGAAAACATCGACTGTCACCTTGTAATTTCGTTAACTTCTCTTGTTGGCTGATTTCGCTGTCGCAGACCTCCGTACTGTGGTTGGTTGAACCGCAGAAGAAACACTGCTTCCCCGCCTGAGATACCATATGCAGTACGGCTGAAGTTGGAGGGGGCCCACGCCTGTCCTCTTTTGACTTTCTTCTTACGGCCTTTTTCCCCAGCTTCCTTCAATCTGCTTCTTTCTCGACTTTCGACTTCTACGAGTAGAAAGGACAAAAGCTGCTCCAGCTCACCCTCGGTAGTGATTAAAGATGAAGGTCCAGCTTCCAGGGCGTCGAGTAGTTGATGTTTGTCTGTAATAAGAGACCACAATATCGGGTGGTAGCGCCTTAAGCAGAATATCTGTCAAGATGGTGGAGTAGGTCGCGGAACCGACATTAAGTCCCTTCTGTCCACGTACGTGGCATTGTACATGGTCCAGAAGCTTTCTTAAGCCAAGAACGGCACCTGATGAGCGCACTGAGGGCAGGCTCCTCAGCTGGGCAAGGTGATCCTGCACAATATGCCGAGTGTTTCTAAAGCGCCTTGATAGTATGGCCACGGCATAATCGTAACAGTCTTCGGTCGCTTGCAATCCGGCGATGGATGATGCCGCTGCACCACTCAGTCGGCTTCTCAGGTAATAAAACTTCTCTCCTTTCGTAAGGCTGTTGTTCTCATGAACCGCTACCTTGAACTGCTCCCTAAACGCGCGCCACTGTCTGAACTCGCCGCTGTACGCCTGTAGTGGCAGAGCGGGAAGCTTTACGGCGCTTCGGTGCGACGTTTCGCCGCCAGGATGGCTAGCTTGAGGCGTGTCTGAGGTCTCTATTCTTGTTGAAGCTCGGCCACGGCGCAATGCTAGCTTTCGTGCTTTCAGTCGTCCAAGCATTCCCCTCGCTGCATCGTCGTACTTGATGACTTCGTTGATTTCAGCAGCAAATTCTTCATCGGGTATTGATTGTTCTAGTTCCGCGTTGAGCTTCAGTAGTTCTTTGTTGTTCACCTGAAGTCTGTCGATGGCGGAGCACAACACACCGATGTCTATTGTGTTCAAAGCAGCCCTGGCTTCGTCGAGCAGCCGGGTGCTCTGCTGCCGACGTGCCGTTTGTTTCTCTTTCAGTCGTTGCATCTTTTAGTTCGAATAATTACCTTCGCTCGCCTTTCGTTCATTACTGCAGCCTGATTCGCAATTTTTTGTTCTCCATAATGTCCTGGGGGTCGTTGTTCTCGGGTTTCGGCACCATTATATTGTTGTGACTATCATAGAAGAGGTTGTGAGCGATTAAAGAGACGTCGACAATGTTTAACAATAACACAAACAGAAACTGTATTACATAAACATTACAAGAGCACACAGATACAGAGAGACTAAAACTCAGGTCCGTTCAGTTCACTTTCCAAGTAGCGTCTGTCTGGGTTCACTGTCTGGCGCGATTCTCACAGTCTCGTTCAATATCTGCTGAATGTCTGTCATCACACCACAAATAGGCATTCTTCCCCCGGAGTCGAGAAACCACGGCCGTGGCTCCAAGCACACTTGTACCGTTGCGGTAACAGGATAGCAGAAGGTGGGTCGGTGCCTGCCCGAGACCTAGACTCCATAACTCTGTCTTCCTTTCTTCGTTCTTTCTTTCTTGAAGGCCTACTTTCGCTATGCGCCCCCTCAGAGAGTGAAACACATAAACGTAAAGAAAAGACACAACAGTGGGCCAGCTGGGGCGGTGGCTGTCTTGGGTCAGTCGTTTTCTTTAGCCCGAAGTATAGCATCCGCAGTCCGATTCAGGCACTTCCCCTCTTTTCCCCAACACTGCGTATGTATTACGCCACGCAAACAGCAGAAGAAAGCAAACTTGCTGTTGTCTCTCTCTTTTTCGTCTTTTCTCTCGTTGCATTAGCCCAAAGCGTATTGTGGTCAGGTGAACCGTGTTGTACTCCTTGGGTTACCACTGTGTGTTCGCGAGCTGCCGAAGCTCATCTCGGAGGCCACGTAGAAATAAGTGTGCGGTTGAGATCCACTCCGCCAGGTGCCGCAACGTTAACAGTTGGTAATGATTTATCAGTGAACTCAATCAATATTTCTTTTAGTTATGCTGGCAGTTGATTTTACTTAATTAGAGGTCACACTCAGATATCTCACGTACCCAGTATAACTATGGACTTGAACGAGAACCTTCGGTTTCTATACTTGGGACGTCTTTTTCGGAATATACCCTGAATCGAAGTAAATGCTCGACAGGAAGTGCGTGGAAGAGAAGGAGTGTCACGGTGCTTGATCCGCTAAACATTAACCAACCACCTCTATTTCAGAAGTGTCTGCAGCTTTTTAGGATGTGGAGTAAGTCTACAATTGAATTGAGAGGTGGAATTTTTGCTTCAAAACAGAGGTCGCTTAAAATATTTAAATAGCTCACCAACAAATGTCTTCTAAACAGGTATTTTCAGCCTTAAAATCATCCGACTCGTGAAACATTATAGGAGAAATCTTGAAACGCAAGTCTGTTCATTTTCACATTAGGAATGCGTTTCGCGTACAAACACGATTGCGTCATAAGAACTCGCAAATTCATGTTCTTTCCGAGTGAACGGATCGAACTACATTTCATTACGTTCAATGCTTTATTCAGCATGAAACATATTAGGAATCAGGGACAAACTTAGCGGGAAGTGTCGTTGTTGTATCTATTCGAAAGCTTCATTGTTGCGCCAAAAGCGCGACGTGATTATGAGAGATGCTGTGGTGTGGGGCTTCGGATTAATTTCGACCACTCGAAGTTCTCTTGCGCGAACGCAAGTCTAAGTATACGAGTGTTTGTTAAGCTTTTTGCCCGCGTCAAAACGCGGCTTTCCGTGGTCGGAAAAGGAACACGAATGGTCGGGTTTAGCAGCGCGACACCT